CGGCGACGCAGCTCCCTGCATTATCGAGAACGCCATATCGGACTACTATTAGCGGCGAGATGTTTTGGTGGCGCCCTCCTATGCTTTCCTCTCGTGACGTCATAACCTTACGAACAACAAGTTCTACGGTGTTTAATATTAGCATGGTGGAAGTTTGAGATCACTGCGCTATGAAACCAACACTCCCAGCACCGTTAAAATTGAAGTTCTTACATTACTCCTATTTCTGTCGATGAGAAAACTTTTGTTTACGTCATAGTGACCATTCGGCCAATCGTGGAAGGCCGACCACACCGACGCTTTTGACCGCGCACGTCGCCAATAACGTAGTCAACGCGCTAGCCATAGGTAAAAATGGGACGTACATACGAAGGGCAGGGTCTCCCGACGAACCACCGGCTTTTCGGAAGATACCATGACGTTTTTGCCTACAAGCCAACCGCGGTCATCTGCATCCAGCGCCGCGGACGGGGGCACAAGGCCACAGTGTGCACAAACAGGCAACAGTGCAAGATCTGTCGCGAGGTCCACCCGGACAACCAGCCATGCCAGGGCAAATACTGCCCCATGTGCAAGAGGAAGGTAACACGATCTTCGAAACCGAAGCGTGTAGGGCAAGGAACCGGGCGAACGACAAACTCCAGAAGGGAGCGATGGCCGGTCAACGCAACCATTGGAATGGTGTGGCAGCAACCACTGCGAGGTTCGGGGCCTCCGCCAGGGCGGTATATAACCAGGACGATCCGCCTCCCACAACCCCTCACGCCGCAACAGCAGCATCAACAACAGCCAGGCAATCTAAAGATAATACACAGCGAGGCACTGGCTCAGAAACCCGTGTATAATTCTGGCACCCAGCGGCACCAGCAGTAGACTGCAACGGAACTTCCCGAACTTATATAAAGTAGCGACAAAAAACTAGAAAAGAGTCATCAGCTGTAAATGACGTATGAGAGACAGCTCCGCGTGGATAAAGAAGAGGCCCATCGAGCCCAAACCAAGGCTAAGGCCGAAGCCGACCGGAAGCGGAAACAAGAAGCCGAGCATAGACGTCCGGCCAAGGAGCAGAAGGCTGACGAAGCGCGTCGCCGGGCTTAACACTGCCCCATCACCTATGAACAAGTTCTGCAAAAGAATAGGAACGAAGCCGAAGCAACAGCCGCCAAAGCCAAGTCGACAAATGGCGCAGCCGCAGTCGCCGTGTCGCAACAAGGTCGACATCAGTTCCCACCGCACCCACCGCAGGACACGCCATCATCGCGGCATGGCTTGCCGGACTTGGGCAGCCATCCCTGCATGCCCCCAGCAGTGACGGTCTTCTAGAACTTGTAGAACAAAATGCATGAGTGGCAGGCGCAGCTTCACCAGCAACTTCAGCATCAAAAACTAGCTATGACGCAGCAAACGCAGCAAAAACTGCAGATTATCCTTACCCAGCATGGAATAGGAACATCGGTGCCGGCCCAATAACCCAATTAGTGAGCCGGTGTCGAAGAAGAAACAAAGACAAGAAGACGTTTACCGCCCTCCAGCGAAACTATCGGGGGCTGCGCGTAAAAAGTCCCAACCCAAGTTACGACTGAACGAGTGAAGGACACCCGTCGACGTCATTCTGCTCCAGGAAATGCATGAGGCCGAAATCAAACTGACCGGGCTCACCAAGTATGACCAACCGAGTGTGACACTGAAAGTTAAACGCAATACCAGGGTACAACCGCAAGCTGCAGTCTCGGTCCGCAAAGGTCTATCCCAACAGCAAGTGGACCCGCATGAGTGGTGCACCGACTCGCAAGAAGTGGTGGCTCTCCTGGTGGAGAGCGAGTACGACGGCCCGATTCTGGTGGCGTCGGCGTACTACCGGGGCAGAACGCCAATGGCAAGGCGAACGAGAGTGGAGATCGACTACGGCTGGGTGGAGAAGCTGGTGCCAGAGTATGGCAGGAAGAAAAAGTACGCGATCCTCGTCGGAGGAGACTTTATTGCTGAACACGAGAAATAGGGCTATACCAAATCGTCGGCCAGGGGAACCGAGCTGCTACGTCGGGCCACCGGGACGAGGCTTGTCCTAATTAACAAATCGGGTGCTAAAACGAAGACCGCGCCAAGTGGAAACAAGCAAGACGCCACACCGGACTTGAATTGGACCAACTCGCACACAGCAAGGAAGGCCGTGTGGAAAGTTCACGAGGACCCGTAGTTTGACAACCACCACCCTATCGAGACGCGGATTGTCGGCAAGGACAGGCGACGCAAGATCGAAGCAGCGGATGGCCAAAGCCACAATGTGGGACAACTTCGACGCTGCACTCGAGGACCCCGGGGGCACACGACTCGAAGACCTCACAAAACTGGTCAAAGACGCGGCCAGGGTGGCAATGGTCGAGACCATTGGCGAAGATAGCGAACCCACCCCAGACACCAGGCTACTGTCCCTGTGTCGCAAGGGGAACAACTACCTTCGGCTGTCCGACACAAAGGAGGCGCGGCGGCACACCACCAGGCTGTCCAGGGACGACAGGACCAAGCTGTGCGAAAGAATCAGTGAACAGACGTCGCTCAGACGCATGTGGACCGCCTGCAACGCGATGCTGAGCAAGACCAAAAGGTCAACATGGCGCAGAGCTTGGCCGTGGCGCAAAACAAGGACGTCAAGAATATTCTGGACTCGATCGGCGACGTCTTTTTTTTTTCCGCAGCCGGTCACTTGCCAAGACTTTAAGATCTACGGACAAGAAGAATTTAAAAATGAAGAATACGAAGTAGGCTTTACACCGTGGGAAATAGGAGAACCCATTGAGCGGATCAACGAACGAAGCGCAGCGGGTCTTCCCGGGATCACAAACACCATGCTCAAAAACCTCACGCAGGAGGTCAAGCGAAGCCAGCTGAAATTGATAAACCACGCCTGGCACGAGGTCAGCATCACATATGGCTGAAAACTGTCCTGGGTGTGCCCCATCCCTAAACCAATGAAGAAGCCAGGTTGCGCGAGTAACGTGCGCCAAATTTCGCTCACTTCCATCCTATGCCAACTAATGGAGAGCATGGTGCTCGCGCGCATCGACTCTATCGTTGAGCAAAGGGAAGGCTTGCACCCCGCACAGACGGGACTCCGCAAGAACCTGGGCACGCAGGACAGCCTGGTCTCGATCCGCGCGTACTTGGCGGACCGACCGACGCAGTGCCATCGGGAACCCTTGGTGGCAGTGGATGTCAAGAACGCTTTCGATGCCCTGCCTCACGCCACGGTCATCGGCACGGTCCGCAAGCTGAGCGTTAAAGGCAGGCCCCTGAACTTTGTCAACGCTTTCGTGAGGGGGCGCAAATAGCTGGTCACTACAGGCAGGCACCGCGGCCGTGCAGAGAAGACAAACGAGGTTGGTGTGCCGCAGGGGCAGTCTTGTCGCCGATGCTCTTTAACATAGTGGTTGCGCGTCTTCTGTGGCAGCTTGCCGTCGTTCCGGACCTGACATTCACGCTCTACGTGGACGACATCACCATGTGGACCATAGGGAGTGACAAAGCGCCTCTTCCCAAGAAGACGATTCGTTCGCTATGTCGAGTGTCCAACGAGCACTAGACTTAGCGACTTTCTGATAGAAGTCGGCCTGCGGCCGTCACCCAGGAGCACCATGTACATAACCCTTGGGAAGGAATGAGAGAAAGTCGATGCGAGCCTGCGCTTCGACGGAGAGAAAATCGACAAGGTTGCCGAGCACTCCATCCTAGGGTGAGCGTTCACTAGCGCGACGACCCGACCGGCTGGATCGAGCGGATGCGGGACACCTGGAAGAGTGGGGCTCTCACCTGTCTGACGCCTAGCAACGAGGGCTGGGGGTCTCGGAGAGGTTTTTGCGAGGACCGTGGTCCAGGCCACCCTGGTATACAAGATCCCGTACGGCCTGAGTTTCTATAGAATCAACGCCGCTCTGCGGGCCAAATTGGAAACACTGATGAACGACGCGCGACGCTGCATCTCGGATCTGTCAAGGCGTACACGTCTGAACCTATTGCACGAAGCCGTCCTGATACTTTCCCTGGCAGAGATCGAAAGGAACCAGGAGAAGATGTACGGTGCCAAGCTGCCGCACACCCGACACGGCAGGTCCCTGGAGGAACGCATGCCCCCGAGGAGATCTTTGCGCGCGCAGACAGCAATCTGAATAAAAGGGTATAGCCATCACACCCCTTGTTACATATGTCAACACCCTAACGCATCAGTTCAACTTACAGCGCACTGACTTCGAACTGAATGCTCCAACTTTTGTGAGAAGGTCGGCTGGACGTACGGTGTACAGTCGTCCGGCTGGAGCTGGCAGTACCGATTGGTACTGCCAGCTCCAGCTAGCGGCGCTTCCACGAGTCACTGCGAGAATAAGCGCCTGTGCAGAAAGGGCGGATGCGCTGTTGCGATAGCGTGTATCACCCCCGTTCTGGAATCTTAAAACCGCCCGCGGCCTGTCTGTTTTGTTTGATTGATAGTTGGAAGCGCTGGTTGGTGATAAGCAATCGGCCACGGACTGCGCTTTTTAAACGACAAATCCTGCTGTGTAGCTTGCGCGTGTCGGCATAGTCAATAGTGACTCTCGATGGTACAAAACAAATCTGTTTGACGAGGAACTAGGAATCGGGGGCGTTATGATTGGGTCTTGAAGTTGGTATCAGTGAAGACGTTTTATCTATACTTCGTTTCACCATAAATTCAGACACAGCCAATGCTACGAGCTAATCGGACCAATCAGACAGCGTCCAAAGCGCGCCATCATGCTTGTTCGTCACGTTTTGTGCGGGTTCTATGATTCCTGAACCAATCGCACACAGAAAAAGACCCAGTGATCGGCGTTTTGGCGTTGCTTGATTGGTCCGATTAGCTCGTAGCGCCGGCTGACACGTAGTATGATGAAATAGGTATTGTTATCGTTTCAAAATGCGGGCGTGTTTGAATTGCACAAAACGGGGCGCCTACGGGAAATTTATTCATTATGAAAGCTGATGTTGAGATGTCACGCGTACCCGAAGACGAGCGTCGCCGCATTATAGACCTGTGCCTTAAGGAGTATAGCCAAAGAGCCATCGTCGATTTGGTGCAGCGCCCATTGAAAACCGTTAATCGCATAATACAAGCATACAAGAACGAAGGCCACATTGCGGACGCGCCACACAATCGACGTCCACGTGTCACAACAGCCGACCAGGATCAGACGATTGTGGCGGCCGTGGCAGTCGACCCGTTTCTGTCGGCCCGAGATGTCCGCAATGCCTGCAACCTTCAGGTGAGCACATCGACAATTTACAGAAGGTTTTCGGAGGCTGGGTTCAAAAGCCGGATAGCTGCCCAAAAGCCTCGGCTCAGCAAAGACAACAAGAGGCAGCGGTTGGCATTCGCCAGAGACCACAGCTCTTGGACCATTGCAGACTGGAGGAGCGTTCTTTTTTCTGACGAGTCCAGATTTACGGCTCGTTGGGATCAAAAGCGACGCGTATGGCGGCCGGACTGCTGCAGATATGACCCCGAGTTCCTGCAGGAAGTGGCAGCAAATGGTCGGTCGGTTGTGAACGTCTGTGGAGCTGTCTCCTACCAAGGACTTGGACCACTGCACAGAATTGAAGGAAGGCTGACCTCTGAGAACTACTGCAACATCTTGGACGACGTCGTGCTTCCTTATATGTTCTCGGTGGCCCATTTCCTGACGAGGATTTTTTTTATCCAGCAAGACCTCTCCCCAGTCCACACCGCCGGCAAAGTGCGGACGCTCCTGGAGGAGCGTTACGTCAGGCAGCTGTCTTGGCCTCCAAAAGGTGTTGATATGAACATTATCGAGCACATCTGGGGTACAAACATATCGAGGGGCTTTGATCTGGGGGCATATGGAGCGGAACCTGGCGAAGCAATCCCTCCACAGTGCACGCGCCGACGACCTCTAGAATGCCGTGGAAGCCGAGTGGAACAGACTGAGTCGACGCACCGATATCGTCGAAGCGCTTTTTCAGTCTCTGCCTTCGAGAATAGCGTGCGTCCTCAGGGCGCAAGACAATCTAGGAAGTTAAGTGCTAGATGTCTTAAAACTGGGTCATTGTTAACAAAAATCAATATGGTTGTTTGTTTTCCTTTTTTTGAAAAAAGCTCTTTCAAAAGAAATAAACATATTCCTTTAAGATGTTGCCGTTCTTGAAAGACCGATCAAAACAATTCGTGAGTTCACAAAAAAAAAAAATCAGTTCCGTGTTAACGAAAAGATAGCGCACGAAGCGAGATTCGAAAAACGGAGCGCGCGTGGAAGGTCGCATCTACACCCCCCTGACCGCGCAATGTTTATAAATATATAAATCAGCACTCACTGCCTTATCCAAACTGACATGCAAAAGGGGTTGGCGTGCGTTCTCGTAACAGCCCATCCGTCCTTTCTGCGCAGGCGCTTATTCTCGCAGTGACTCGTGAAAGAGCCGCTAGCTGGAGCTGGCAGTACCAATCGGTCGACGGCGGCGTGTTCACGCTCATATTAAGGACGACTGTACGTCCAACTGAAATTATGGAGTATCGTCCAACTGAAGTTTTGGAGCTATATTCTTACACCCCTGTGACAAGGGGTGAAAGAATATAGCTTTTTTTTTTTATTGTAAACGATGTCACCGATTCCGGATCCCATCCCACCATAGCAAAAAACAACGGTCACCCCGGCCACGCCAATCCCAAAAAAGATGAACTCGACGACCGACCCCGGCATAAAGAGCAAGTTGGCCAGGCGACATGAACAGGGTGGTGGTGGTGACAACAAGCTTCAAGAATGGAGTGGCGCCCAAGGTGGCGTGGCATTACGGGAACAAAACCAAGAGAAAGACGCTGCAGAAATGCGGATCTGCGAAGGAAGCTGAAGTCAGAGCCGTACTTGAGGCATCAAGGACATGACCGCATCGTCGAGCGAAGAATTTCGAGAACTATGCGTCTTCGCGGACTCCCAGACCATCGTGAAGTTGCAAGTCAGGGCACACGCCGCAGTCGGAGAGATTTTCCGGCTGGCATATGAACGAGAACGACGCGACTCAAACCCACTTTCCGTCAGCGTGGAGCGGATTTCGGGTCACGCGGGCATCGACGGTATGAGAGGGCGCACCGGGCGGTGGTCGAAGAGATTAATCGCATCGACCTTCGACGCCAGGACCCAGCCGCCACCCCCTCTGTGAAACCGCAACCGTCCGCCTTCAACCCGTACGACCCCGAGGGCACCGTCATAAACATCAAGTTGACGTTCAGGAAAACCATCAAGACTACGCTGGAACCGATTGCAGGCTCTAATGCAAGCTACCAAACACAGGACAATAAAGAAAGCACAAGCTAAACGCAGTCTCCAAATGCCAACAAAAGACCAAATGGATAGCCCCTAAAACGGCCGCCTCTATGTGCCGTATTTCCTTTTTTTTTTTCATTATGTTTTAATGGCTTGTTATCCCTGGAGCTAACAATGCAGTCTTGGGTAAGTTACTTTTAAAAAGTAATTTGTTACAGTTACAGTTACTTTCAGAAAAAAGTATCGATGTTACCGTTACAGCTACCGCAACAAAAGAGTAACTCGTTACAGTTACTTTTAAAAAGTTGTTAGTTACTTTTCTATTACACAAAAAAATGAGATAAAACTAGAAAATGCCCCTCCACCAAGTTTTATCGCATAAAACTAGAAAGTACGCTATTTACTTCATATTGTAACTTAGCAGAAGTTGTTTCTCGAAATTAGTGTTTGAAAATTTCTACGCCAGAGTAATAGTGCAAATCAAAATACGAAACATGCGTAGTGCGGAGTACTCGCGCTAATCAAAATACGAAACATGCGCAGTGCCCTCTGAATAATTCACCTGATTGATTCACCCGCTTAAAAAGCGTTTTCACAGAAAAAAGAGAAACCCCAACATAGATAGTGCTTCAAGACACTAAGATGTAAGTGTTCAGTTACAAAGTACAAGCACGTGTGTAAAGATAACTATTTTTTTGTCTCATGACATCTACACGTGGCTATTTATATTCGGGTCGTGACTCGGGAGAAAGGACGTATTCACAAGTTTGTGCAAGGCCAGCTTGACACTCAAAATGTCGGAATAGACAATTTGAAAAGTGCAAGGAATATCTAAAATGTACTCGTTCAGTGATATATTATTCATAAAACTCTAGAAAGTAACGACAAAAGTAACGTCGTTACTTTCATCGTTACCTCAGAAAAAGTAATAGAACTACAGTTACAAGTTACATTTTAAAAAAGTAACTCGTTACAGTTACAAGTTACCAAAAAGGTAACGAAATTACAGTAACGCGTTACTAGTAACGCGTTACTACCCAAGACTGTAACAAAGTACCGGTGCCGCCATCCGGATTTTACATATTTTGGCTGAAGCTAGGATGGTTCCGTCAGCGGTGGAAGACTGTGAGACCAACGCTTGGTAAGGTAACAATGAACCATTTCCAGGAATCGCCGGTTCTCGAGGTTCTGTACCTTGGCCGCTCCAAGGGTTCAAGGTTCAGTATGAAAATGCGCGAGCACGTTTTCAAGTGAGCGCGAACACTCCCTCGGCCAAGGAAGCTAGATTCTGCAGATTTTATAGAGCTGCAGTGACTTAGATTGAGCTCACCACAAGCCCCTTGTGTGCCTATTGTGGCTTACATTTGGCTCCAAAACGCGTTCAAAAGCGTTTCTTTTATATCCTTCCGAATGCTCACGTTCTTTCATTCTCAAAACCCTTCCCAGTTTTCTGCCAGGTGAAGCCATGGATTTAAAGGAGTTTCGTGGATACTCTTTTGTGTTAGGTGTGCTTTTCTCTTGACCTTTCTAACACATTTTTTGACAGTTTGAAGGTACAGGCACTCCTCGCCCTTCACTGGGGAGTGTCACGTTGCACGACGAAAGATAAAAAGAAGAGAAGCGCGAGCATGGAAGAACGGCAGGCGGTCACTCTGCGCAAAGATTTGACCTCGTCATCGCTCCGGGGCAAGTGCACCAGCGGCTGGCCACGCTCCAGCACCGCTGGGACACTTCATCCTGCCGCCTAGATTGCCACCGGTGCCATTGCCGTATGGACTGCTTGTCCGAAGGGACAAAGAAGCGGACAAGTGTCGGGAGGTAAAAAGATCATCCAAAGAAGCGGCGCCTAGATTTCGGCGCCGACCCGAAGAGAGGCGCAGCTTCGGGATGGTGCCCCGAAGACCCTAAAAAGAACCCGGCGATGGCCCGGGGAAGGCTTGGCGACCACCAACGAATAAGAAAGGAGACATAGACATTGACTCGACGCTGGCGTGGGACTCTCCGGAGCGACCCGAGCAACCACAAGGGTGGCGATGAACGTACCAGGCGACGACCGAATGTGTTGATGTAACTTAGTGTCCAACTAAAGTCTCAGGAAATCAAGGCAGCGGCCAAAGAAACCTGACGGAAGGAAAAGACACGAAATGCCCGACGGATTCCGCGGTGACACTGACCTAACCGACCTAGGCTACACCATCAACAGCAAAGACCGAGAATCAGATCGCCACGTGCAAACGAACATCTGAGACTTGATAACTTTTTTACATTTGTGCATTAGTTTATTACTGCTCTTCTTGCTTCACGTTATGTAATATACCTTTATCTCTTTCATCATCGTGCACTGTTTTCTTCTTATCCAACGGTTGGACCCTGAACCGTGACAGGGAGACAAAATACTCGCGCTTGGTTGTTGATCAGCGACAAAGGTTGCTTCCTTTTCTTTGTCTTTTTTTATAATAGTCGATGTTTTTTTCTTGAGCGAGCAAGTTTGTCGTACGCTCGCGTACTGATAATCCAGTCTGGCTGCCTGATCAACTTCTAGTTCGGCTGTTAAGAACATTCAATGATATATCTGTCAAGTTCGCCGCATTGCGTCAAATCATATTACGAACTTTTTGTGGAATGCTTCATGAGCCGAGCCTGCCAACACACTGAAGCACGCCAGTTGCTATGCTTACAATACGTGAGTCCCCCTTGTTCCTAAAATCTGTACCCATTATGCTGCATTTCCTGAATTAATTCAAAGCAAACTTAGATTTCTATTTCGATTCAGCTAAGTCGCTTCTTGAAGGTCATAAAGTTCACAGCAGAATATGATTTTCAGCCAAGTAATAACAAGTAAAAAATCCACTTTCTGACTTTTTTATTTTGATATTAACAACTAGCAACCTACTTTCCGAGTACCTTCAAATGTAATTCAATTACTTTTGTGAAGTATTTGTGCTCGACTCAAGATAGTTCATAGTAAAAGTAACTTAAATACTACT